TCACTGCTTTCGGATTTAAAAAGTATATATGTTTTAAATTTGTGACGTATTTCTTTTTGTTTTGACCGATCTGTATTTTCTGTAACTCTTGCTGTTGTCTTGTAGAACTGTTGGCTCTTCAGTCGAACTCCAGCGAACTTCCCTTCATGTCGGAGTCTGTCAGTTCAGCAGCGACTCTTTTCCACTGAACCCAAAGGTGAGTGCTGCTGCTTCACTACTTTCTCACTGTTTGGCTGCATAGGGCAGCTGTGGAGCAGAGGTAGGGCAGCCAACTTGAGACTGAAAAGGTACAGGTTTGATTCCCCGCCATGCCTATATGTCACGTGTCCCTGAGCAACATGCCTATACCCCAACTGCTCCGCAGGCTCTAAAACTGCTGCCTGCTGCTGCACTTGAACGCATCTCTCATGTGATTGATGAAATGCAACAGACACGTTCAGTCATTGTGTTGGAACGTACACTGACTGCACCAAAAAAAGTCTCCACCTGGATTTAACTAATCAAACAGGTCCGAGCCTCCTGTTGGAGAATCACTGCACGGACAATTATGTTTCAACTGCAACAAGTTATTTAACTCCAACCGGTGCAATGAGTTGCTTCTCAATTCTTAAACCACGTCAAAGACTCATGGTGGTCGTGAAAAGATGTCCGTCTGTTTGAGAAGGGTCAAATCACTGGCATCAAGCGGAGAAAACATCTCAGGAGATTGAAGAAACTACTAAAACTGGGTTAAGAACTGTCCAACGATTATTAAAAACTGGAAGGACAGTTGGGACCCATCGTCTTCCAGGAAGAAATGTGGCCGGAAATAAATCCTGAATGATCGTGATCGATGATCATTTAAACGTTTGGTGAAATCAAATGGAAGAAGAACACCAGCAGCGCTCAGGGCTGTGGTTCATAGAGACAGGAAGAACATTTCCACACACGCACAATGTGAAGGAACTCAAGGGACTGGGACTGAACAGCTGTGTAGTCTTAAGAAAACCACTAACCAGTGAGGCTAACTGGAAAAAAAAGGCTTCAAATTGTTAGGGAGCATAAAGATCGGACTGTGGAGCAATGGAAGAAGGTCATGTGGTCTGATGAGTCCAGACTG